CCTTTCTGCTTGCGCAAAACTTACTAGCCCTTAATCTCCTCATCATTATAATCGTTTGCCTAAGGCGTACAATAGAGTGTGGATCGAATTTTGGGACGTGGATCAGCATAAAATTCTCACGAGTTTTCGTCAAAATTGATCATCATGGACTCGTCGATTTCGGGCTGTGTGACGTAATATTGCCTTATTGAATCAAGAAGGAAAAATGTTCTGCAAAATCTGACCATCCCTCCACCATCCGACGAGGCAGTGCCCCCCCCCCCCCCTGCTAGCTGCTAGCTCTCCACTATGTCAATTGTCCTCCTTGAATCTGGAAAGAAAAGTCAGATGGTCGGAGACTCAACAATTCGGCTGCAACACTGACTTGTGGTGGCATTTGTGACAATCATAGAAAACTGTCGAGCCTTCATCAGCGCTGCGGAGTTGAACTACGGAGTAGTACAACGTCTGAGCATTGCAGTTCGGGCAATCTTGTTTGATCGAATTCTGCGCAGGTTTCTTCTCCTTCTCTGTCAGTTGCTGAAGCCCTGATTTACGAAGCTGGGACTCAGATTGGTACGTCGTAGTCGTGACCGTACCCAGAGATTTAGCTGCAATAAAGTCAGTATGTCTCAGTGCAAGTTGGACGGAACCAGAACCTTGAATGGTTTTCCCACAACATTCGCAATCAACGGTCGGGTTTGTGGTCTCCGGAAGAAGATCGCCACACTGATCGCAGAACTGAATAGTCATCGTGAAAGGCGGACAAATGGTATCGAAGGGGAAACTATGTTCGTGCACCGTATTTGGTAGGTCTTAAATGAAAGATTAAGTGGCTTTACGTTCGGCGACGGCGATGCTGGGTATTTATGGACTAGAAGCAGACCTGAACCCGTGCACTGGCTCTTTCGGTATCACTTTGATGCGGGTCTCCGCTTAAAATCGGATGGGTCTATTTCCGAACAGGGTAGCTCCCTGCTAGAAACAGACAATTGATGCGCTGAAAATTTTCTCCAAGATCGCCGTTTGCTGACATTTGAAAACAATATCGAAAGCGAGATCGGAATTAATGTGAATAGCATTAAACTGCTGAACATGACCCTTTGTGTCTTCTTCGGCATCTCTGAGTAAAACGAATCAATGGTCACGGCTGTGCACCTGAAGCGCTTGTAGCCACGAGTGGTCTAAGTCACGAAAATCTCGAGGGCAAGTTGCGGAACACATCACAAAACAAGACGTATTTGAACACACGACCATCACCGTCATCAACGCTGCTAAAGAACCATGGGCAATCACACGAAGCAGGCTGAATGCGCCCATATCAGTATAAAATCAAATGTGACAGATGATATCTTCGACCAAGTTCACAAGAAACCGCGACAAAGGCAATGGCGAGCCATAGAGGTTAGTATCACCTCCTGCCTAGACGATCGTTACGTCAAACATCAGGCAACCTGCTGTTGATGCCGTGAAGTACTACTGTTGGCCAACAGACTCGTTCAACGTGACGCCCTCCGCAGCGAAGAAGCAGTGCCCCTTTAATGTGCGACAATGTCTGCTTTGAGATTGAGGGCGGTCACTTCATGTCTTTGCGTCATGATATATTCTACTATTCTGTCGACGTTGATTGGGACTCCGATGATTAATCATACCAGCCACACGCCTTTTGCGTCCACCATCATCGTCTTCATCTCATCGACACTCCTCGGCAAGTCTTGAGGAACTGTGTGACCCCGATGGATGCTATGTTGAACATCAATGTTGTAGATCTAACGTTGCTTGAGCCGATGCGCGAGGCATCAATGGGCATATCACGTGAAACAGAATCCCTCCAGTATACTAACATCGGCTTGGCTTGAGCATCGACGGTACGAGTGAGCTGTCTCCAAGGCCTCCACGCGCATAATCCGATGAGCACACTTTTGCCGACCTTCCAAGCGGACTCCGTGGCCGAGAGTGTACTCTTCTTGTGAACATCCATAGGTTTTCGTCAGGCACAAGCCTAGCTATGAGTTCTGACACCTTATCTCGTTGAGTGCGGCATGGTGCCCGAACACCATCGCCTCCTCTCCAGTGTGGGATGGGAACGAATCACAGATCCTTCCTGAATATTCCGTACTCGCCCCGCGCCAAATTCTACCGGCGTATCCAATCGCAAAGGCCACACGTTGGAAGAGAGTGGTGGTGAACGTTCCAAAACCGTGCGTAGCAGGATTTGATTTTACAACCCTATCACTTGCAGTTATGTCTCGGGCATATCTAAACATAGCATATCAGGATGGAAACAACCGAGACGGCATCTCGAACTGCATGCTTTATCATGAGACTGTGAGCTTGATGGCGTTTCGAGTTGCATGTGGTAACGAGCAAGGATATGTTGACCTTCACACACAGCCAAGCCTCTGATGAGGAGATTCGCAGTGAAGAGCAACTAATCAGTAGAGCACGTGTTCCCTGCTTGCTGGGCTTTCCCGCCAAATTTGTTCAATACAGAATCTTACTCATTGCCCCAACCTCCATTTCCTATTCTGCTTTGCAAAGGAGCATCCATGGACCGCCCCGAAATCGAGTAGCGGTAAGATTGGTCAACCACTGACACATCTTACTGAGGAAAAGAGCCCTACGAGAAGAATTGCCAAAAGGTATGTCCTCAGCTGAGGCTCTACGTCAACGCTGGAATCCGTGTGTAGTATGTGAACCGTTGGCTCTACCTATATACGTACGCACACCCTCGCGAAACCGAGCTCCCTACTCCGGAAAGTAGATGGCCACCTTGGTCTCCATCTTAACATTGAAGCGTTTATAGTATTCTGACGCATCTTCAATGCCAATGACTGCGCTGATGACGAAGCTGGGGTGCGCTTTGCCGCTGTTGATGAGGTCGATCAACTGAGGGGCGTACTGCTTCGGGTCAACTGCTCCCGCTCGAAAGCTCAAGCTCTTGGCAAAGAAGGTCGAGGCGGAAAAGGGGATGGTGGGCGAGATGATGCTGCCGTGTGGTGCACCAGGAGAACTTTCCTGAGACTGATACACACCCAACTGACCGATGCCTCCTCCGAAATGGGCCAAATCGATCATCTGTTGCAACACGATGCTCTCGTCCATCTCAAGGCCGGGATTCAATGCCTCCATGCCAACACAGTCCACGGTGCGCATCACCCCGCGTGGCTCGCGAGCCAAGATTTGGGCGACGGGATCTTTGTGGGCAAAGTTGATCGGGATAGCTCCGATGGAAGCCGCAAGCCCGAGGCGCTCCTCCACGTGGTCGACAACGTAGACCTTGGAAGCCCCGCGCAAGATGGCGGAGTAAGCAGATAGCAGCCCGACGGGTCCTGCCCCGAAGACGGCGACGGAATCGCCGGATTCGAACCCGGTGTAGTCGATACCGGCCCACCCCGTAGCGAAGATGTCCGCAACGGTCAGGTAGTCGTGCTCAATCGTCGAGTTGGCGGTTTCTTGGGTCAATGGGATAGGGATCAGGTTAGCTTCAGCGAAAGGGACCCTCGCGTATTCAGCTATGCGTCTCGTAGTCAGCACATTGTCCACCACGCACGGTAAGTTCATTGAACAGGATTGCTCCGAACTTGAAGCCCACCGAGACCCATCTCACTATTACCGAAGCCGAAGTACTCTTTCGACGTCGGCTCCATCTCCAAGTGATCCACTGACACGGTGTCGGGAACAATGACATAGTCCCCGACGGCGAAGGAGGACACGGCGTCGCCGATCTCCGAGATGTAGCCTACTGCCTCGTGGCCCATTGTCCATGGCGGGGCACCGCCCATGTAGCCGCGATAGATATGCAGGTCGGATCCGCACATCGCTGAAGTGGTCACCCGCACAACAACATCCGTCTCGTTCAGAATTGTTGGCTTGGCAACATCCTGAACCATCATTTCGAAAGGCGTGCCATGGTAAACGACTGCACGCATAGTCGTGGCTGGCCAGGAAAGGTTGAGCGACATACTTTTTGCGATAAGGGGTGTTGACGCTCAGGCAAGTAGCGTGGCTGAGCTGATGGTGGAATCTCACGGCGAATGTGATGGTCTCTTGCAGTTGTGCTCGTCTTGCTTCTTAGTCGCATGAGTTCTTGGAGATCTCATGTCTGACGACAGCCAATATATAGGGATAGGACCCATGCGTCAGGAGTGCTTCTCCGGAGACCATCTGTCTTGCCATGCTGGAATTGCCGGAGAACCTACAGCCTCACCGATCGGTGAAGCGAATAGCTCGAGTAACAAAATTGCAACAAGAAGCAAGATTTGACTTGCATGTAACATCGAAACAACGCCTTTCGCCGGATGTAGCCGTCTTCGTTCGTGGGGTCCTGGCTTGGGCACTGCGAATCGAACATTGCCATCTCAAAACCCATCTTGACTGTGCGCCTCCCGCACTTTCTCGCGATGGAGCCAGAAAACGGGCTGTCCTGAGAGCCTAATCGCTCGCAAGAGACGACATGGCTCCTGCATGAATGATACTGGGAATGACGTGGACCCACGTATAAAAGGTCAAAATCGAATCCTAATTTGTGGCGGCCACAACTGGGTAGCTTTTCGCCGTCTCCGTGAGGATTTGGGCTCTAGGCAAGCACCCCAAAGCATTAATCGACCTCAAGCAAGCCATACTTGCTTTGTGGCAGGTGCGAGAAGGACTACGCTTGATCGCGCCTCTTCAAACCCTGCTCATCGCAAGCCATCACGGTATAATAGTTGGAAAAAAAGGGGGGAGCGGGGGTGGGGGGAGCCTGTAGCAGTGCTTCTTCCCTCTGGAGAAGTAGCGTTGTCTACAGTACTGTACCAACAACAGAAACGATGTGGTGTTGACAGGCGCTGGAGATCACTCTGTGTTCCGAATCTTGGCTCGTTTGTACCTACCCGATTCCTGGGATCACCCGCTGCTTCGGACAAACGCTCACATCATGCTCCCATGTGTTACCAGCACCTGCGAACCTCTTGTGCCATACAAAGCCGTCTCCGACTCTGGGTTTGCCATCGCTCGGTCGGCTGTGGGGTATGCTGACCTCAGCAGCAGCTCTTGGCCGAGGAGGGGCCCGGGCCCTGAAGCAGCATCTGGCCCGGGTTTAGGTGGAGATGCTCGATAATGTCCGTGCCGGCCCGCCCCATTTCATCCAATTCTTTCCACTGCTCACAGCCCCTGCCATGCGCGCACCCGGGAGAGATCGGCTGCATCGTGTCGGGCTTGGCCTTTAACATCTGCGCTTGCAAGTCGGACCTGGGAGAGCATTTGAGGCCTGTCAAGCAAGTTGGCATTGATAATGTGGACCTGTGTCACTCAAAGACAAAGAGAGACGACATTATCGAAGCAGAGATGGGCACAATACGCCGCGAAGCAAACCCATGATGTCAATCTACATTTCCATTCTGGATCATGAAAAACCGGGTTTCGGGAGTGTGACTGAGTTGAAGTGAATGCTGAAACGATATAGGCGGTGCGGAGAATACCCAGCGACAATGGGCTGACAGGCTATAATGTAGACAGCCTCCTTTACTTGACTATTTCTCAACCTTCTTGTTCTTCACTATTTGAAGCTGGTCCAGTGATGACTGTAGAAGACTTCGAACTCGTGAGTCTATATCCGTGCGATCTAAAGCCGACTGCGCATTGTCACGGAGCTGCTTCTGCTGCCGTTGCTTGACATCTCTGCGTAGAACAAAGTCCCACGTGCATACCCCGTTCGACCCGGCGAGTCCTAAAGATAATGGCAGGCAGTACTTGGATCTCCATGAAAGATTGTGATTCTCGATGACCATTGATTGAACACGGAGGAGTCCTTGCACATAAAAGACCGCTGTCGTTGTGACGGTCGTCGCAGTGTGAGAAAACAGCATGTCGAACGCGGTCATTTCAGTTGCACTTTGATCGATCGATGGGTCCCATACGGCTAACGTGAGGCCTTCGAAAACTACTTCTCTCCTTTTCGGGTTGTAGTGAGCATTCGACGATGCGAGGTAGTGGGTGATCGGATAGCCCACCTGGCGTTGTGGGTGCAGTTGCCGGAATGCCAGATATCTCGGAGATTCCCCACGCAGAAGGCTTGTGAAGTCTTTGCCGACTAGCACGAAATCTACACGTTTCACCACGCTGCTAAAAAGGTTTTGGAAAATGAAACGATGGATAGCTTCCATTTCTTTTGGGGTCGGACATTGTGACGCCATCCCACGGTCACCATTGTTATCGGCCAAAGGACGTTGATGGGCGGGTAGGACCAATTTATGTATGATTGGACGCGAAACGTGAAGACCTGCACTGATACTGATACATGCTGTGGAGCAGGATTCGCGTCTCATACGATGGCGAAAGGGGCAAGAATTCAGACGTCTCCCCGAAGGAAGGGGCATGGAGGAACGGAGAAGGCCGAAACCCGCCCTGCAGACAGATCTGAAAAAGCCATTAAGTAGGCCCTACTGTAGATGATAAAAGCAGCTGACCTGCGCTCCCATAGACGATAGAAGAAACAGAAAAACTCCTCGAGGATATTGACCATTAGAGCTCGTGCCCTCTCTTAGTATTGTCCATGGCTGGCCGTGCTCTTGACTCCCACGAACGCTTCCAGATATGGGCGACAAAGTGGCATGTTGGAAATGGTGAGCTTTTGCAGACCCAGAATATCTCAATGGCGCGCTTACACAAAGCAGATGACGAGTGGTGTCTGCCCCATGAAGATGACTCGGAAATCATCAAAGAGTATGACAGCGCTAGCCTCACTGCTTTGAGAATACTTGAAGTAAGTAAGATCGCTAGCGACGGGCGAGTTAGGCTGATGCTGATATGAAAACCAGCGAAAGGCTTTGCCTCTATTCCATTACATGGAGATCCAAGAGTGCGTGAAGAATGGATGGGCGTCGCGGTTGCGGATCTGTACAAAGTTCATCCAGTTCGGCACTTACCTCCGCATCCCCCTCGAGACGGTCCACCTAGCGGTGAGCTGCCTTGACCGCTTTCTCTCGGTTAGGGTTATTTCAGAATACCATCTTGACCTAGTCGGAGCAGTCATTTTCGCCATCGCGGTCGAGTTCGAAAGATTGAGCGTACCTTCTGTGTTTGAACTCGATAGTAGCCTTGTAGAGCGGTACCAACCAGGAGACATCCCATTCATCAAGTCAGTCGTAGTTGAAGTTTTGGATAACACGCTCAAAACACCGAGCCCGTTCATGTTCCTTCGCCGGATCAGCACCGCAGACACGAAGGCGGCGGCCATACTCTCCCTTGCGCAGTATCTATCGGCATGCAGTCTACTAGATGCAAGATACGTCGGGATTGAACCGAGCCGCATTGCAGCAGCGGCTTACCATCTTGCTCTGCGGATCGCGTTCAAGGGGAGTTGTCTTGAACTCAACTGGGTAGGAAAATACTCCGGAGCAGCAACAAAAGCTAACGGCGAAGTAGAGCGACAAGCACGTCAAGCTCTCTGGCTACTTGGCGGTAGAGCTGAGACCACTGATGGCTGCACTGTGGAACACCAGCCAACAGGAACAAATCAACGCACCTATCAAAGCCATGAGGGTTGGCCAGTTTCAAGAAGCTGCTAGGGTTGTAGAACGTACCTCCGAGAGCGTCTTCTTTCCACGATGTTTCAATCCGTGGGAGTACGAGGGCCTGTACATACCGTCTTGGGACGAGTCAACAGGCAGCTCGTTAGAAAACGTCTCAAGCTCGTCAGAATGTAGCTCACAAGGCGGATGCGAAGAGGGCATATGAACGCATAGAAGCGATGACGTATGGCAGGTGTGGTGAAACGTTTGTTCATTAGCTTGCGATGTACATCAAACCTCAAGCCTAACGATTGATCGGTCACTTTTACGCAAGAGCACATGACTTTCTAAATGTTATATAATCAACCAACTAGCCTGCGCGAGTCGACGGTTCTTGTCTCTTCCAGGCAAAGTTCGAACGACGTGGATGCACAGTAGAGTTGTGAGGACTGGTCTACAAGCCCGTAAAATCCATGGGGAATTGCCTGCAGTATCAAGCAAGTGCTCTCAAAAGAATGAGGCTTACAGTACTTTGTGCTTCCTGTTGACCCTGTGGTCACATGGACACGTGCAGCTCCATACAGACGCCAAAATTGCAGAAAGGTCAAACGAGGCCTTACTTCATCTCGGGGCCTCAATTACGGCCTATTGCATGCCGCGATTGAATCAAATCACCGGGAAACGGCTGCAGCTTACTTAGTGAACTACGAGCAAGAATAAGCCGCGAGCAAAGACCGAAAGGCCGTAAGGCCCAACTCGTATCGTACGGCTCGTCTGGCCCACAAGGAATGACGGATAGAAATTCATCCTTTTCTGTGAAGCAAAACAAGGTTCAACATGGATAATGGATTTATTGCCAAACGGACAAGTTTGAGAACGTCGCCCCTAGCCCTTGATCGAACCAGTTCAGGCCTCAAGGTTCATTGGTTGAATTGCCTGGATTAGTTCCAAACCAAGATGGTCAAAAGCCGTGGAATCAACTTCAACAAGGTCCCCAGAGAGATGAATATACCCCTACAGCACTTGTTTACCTACTAAGACCCTTTTTGCATGCCTCAACCAAGTAGAGCGATGGATTTCTGGCTATCCCGCGGAACCACCCGATCTTATCCATGTCAGCGTCTCGTCAGTGTCTAGACCTCCTCCGATTGAACCCCAAAATCGTCGTCCAATGACGCGATCTCGAATAGCTTCGTCTTCTTTGAGGCGCCTTGAGGTCCGTCCTTTTCTTTGGGCATAACTGTCACGATGCCGATGCAGCAAGTGTAGTCGCCCGGAGGCATCGACGTGAAATGACTTGGACACAATCCTTGACGCAGAGCGTAGAAAGTCGTTCTCCACGTTTTAGGCCTTACTCACCTCCTCCAATAGGCTGTAGGGACCTGTAGCGTAAACCACTTTCCAGCGGGACAAGGTCATTTAGCTATGATGATGGGGCGTTTGGCGAATAGATTACCAGACCAACAGTCCAACTTGTTGCGAGATTGCCGACACATCTGTCATGACGCTGCTCAGAGGTGACGAGACTCACCAGAAACTACACACTTCTTGTCTAGTAGAATGAACAAGTAAAGGCATGAATTGACTGCATGTGCGAAAGCGACTACGCGGGGCTATGTTGCCGTCTGCATGGCCAGCGTTGTCAGGAGAAGTCATGAACCCCACCTTCGACAACGTCTAGTTATATTATATGCGCTGACGACTAGCCTTTGTGCCAACATGATTCTGAAAGTCACTGTTTCTCACACTCTCGACACAGCCGATGATGCCTTGGTATTCGCGTCACCCGGACTCAGCCAGTCAGTCTCGTTCCATGTCGTCCCCGACGTCGCTCGCCATCCAACCGCCGTCGTGTGAGAGACAGAAGTATTATTTGCCTCTGTCTCTACTGGCGCCAGTAGCAGGGCAAGGCCCTCGCATGAATTCTGATGCGATTGAATCAAGATGTCCTGAAATCGTACTTCAGGTCTCCACGGTGGATTGTTATCGGTGAAAGAAAGATTCCCATGTTGTGGCGAGATTCGTGTTGTGCGCTTGGAAGTTGCCGTTCACAGCTGCGCCATATCGTGTTCCAGGCTTCTGATATAGGCACCTTGGTTGTCCAGGGTTTTCAGTTGTAGCTCCCCAGTCGTCCTCGCGCTGTTGATCTCTGCTGCGAGTCTGCGTATCGTTTCGTCCTGTGCTGCAGCGTGAGCGCGGCAGTAATTAATACTGGCACCCACTTTGTCTATGACGAGCGTGACAAGTCCTGGCGTGAGATCATCAAGCGAGGAATCGACCATGTGCTGCGGCGCAGCCATGGCAAAGATGAATAGCGAAGAGCGTACGGGTTTTGATTCAATTGTTGATTCGCCCAAAATGTTGGCGGCGAACTGTAACCGGCCAATGCAACTCTGGACGGTGAACGCTGATTACACGAGAAGCCCTTGGCGACATATCCTACTAGCGAGCGGTTGGATTGAACTCTTTTATCGACGTCCAGACAGCTGTGGGCTCTGCATCGAGTTTGTACCCAGAAAACTGCTGGCCCGAGGAGGCAATTATGGCTTTCGAGGTCATAGCATCCACCTTAGTATGCTCGGCTTGTAGCTCCAGAACAAGCGCCTCCGACTCGGATTTCGTCCTTCATCTGGCGCAGTGGACGGTCCTACCATCTTTTTAGTTGGCGCAGACCTTGTAGCCATGGGCCGTTTCAGTCGCAGATCCCTCACAATTCCGCCGGCCCGCCATGGTCGCAGCGCATTGGCCATCAGTACAGTAGACAGATAGAGAACCATAGTAGCAATACGCGCAAGCCAGTGAGCGCTCTCGTTTTTTCTGATGATCGCGTTCTAGTCAAGTAGGTTTGTAAAGCGTCCCTTCATAGGTCAACGCGGAGCGTAGCCGAAGAGGGGGGAGGCTTTGAATCTTTTGTGCCAGAAAACGACAGGTAGTCATCGTCCCAGGTTCGTGAAGTTCGGGTCGATATTGTTTCTTTTTTGGCGGCCGCACAACTTCGTGATATGAGATCAAAGATATCCGTAGGACTTTCAACTGCTCGGGATTAATGGCATGGCTAGAAGCTGGGTCTACAACCTTAATCCTCCGCCACTCCGCTAAGCGCGTCAGACCACTTAATTTGCCATGCTCTGGATACACTTGTGATCAAGGGGAATATTCATATACGTACTTTGAATACACCGGGGTCTATTAGCTCCAAGAACAGGACGAAGAGAGGTTGAATCACAAACGCTAGGAGGCACAATGAATTGAATAGACAACTTGCTCCGTGTCTGTGACTTTCACTTGAACATGGAACAATGTTTTCGTCGCATTGCCTGGAAGACCGATTCTCCCGGGTGAGACGTCCTTTCTTCAATCAAAGACCCCTATAGTCATGATTAACTTCAAGGTCATCGTGTAGGTATAGTTTTTGTGCGACCCAGGTGTGCTACTTGGAGGCTTTTTCGTGACTCGACCGCAAGCCACGCAATTCAGAGAGCCTCAGTCTAGCAGTGCGAAGTAGATCTTTGCATCTTACCAGGTGGCGAGGTATATTCGATTTAACATGTCATCTTCTTCATCATGTGTGCAAATACAAAGGCCGAACCGGGATGTTTCTGTCCAATCTGTAAGACACGGTATGTATCCAGCAACCTGAGAAGAGAGGTGGCTCGTCCTAGGTACACCTGTAGTTTTGTGTTTCCTTATCTCTCACGCATAAGACGGACAGGGAAAGGGCCTTCTATCAATGATCTCACCGTTTCTGTCACGATCAACTACATTAAGACGTCCATTTTCCTAGCAACACTGTTACGTTGTCCGATAATGCTAAGACACGGCCAGGCTTCATTCCATGGACAAGAACTGGCTCCAGTATCTCTGGTTACGCCGGTTAGCATGCTAGACATGAACTTGTGTGGACAAGTGTAGACAAGTGATCCATAGGGGTCAGGGAAAAGAGAGAGGATGGGGAGGAGAATGGAAGACTTAACCCAATGGGCCATGGTGTACTGTGCTCCACGAGCCGACCTGATGTGTACGTTGGCTCGCATCTGCCAACGTGTGGATACGCATGCATCCCTCCCCATGAAACTGACCCCCGCGTCCTCTTGCAATGGTACCGGAAGAGCGAAGACCAGATAGCTCTTGTACAGACCCCTTTTCCGGTGGGTCTGCTACAGGTTACGGTTAGGAAAGATGGCATGCAGCTAGTTTTTGGTGTATAAAACCAGCGCCCATTCATCTCATCCCCCGTTCTTCCTATCTTGGCCTTCATCCTTGCATCATTCTGACACTGATTCATTTTAGTTACCGCTGTCCAAAGAAAGCCTCGCATGTCATTCGATAGCCAAATGGGCATCATCTCATAAGTGTTGGTAGTTTAAAGTCTGAATTCTCAACCTCTTGAACACCGACGCGCCTCCGAGTATCAACAACCATCACGAAAACCGGTGAATCAATTTTTTTGGAATATCTTGCTGCGGCGAGGTTTTCTCGGTACGAACTCCTTTTGACACCGCAATCCCCCTTTTCTATCCATCCCAAAGGCTTATCTCCAAGTTCTCTATAGTATCATCTGACATCAGCATTTCCTCCTGATTTCTTGGTTGCAGAGATGGTGCACGCTCTTACACACACCTCGGTGGCGAATTGCGACCCCCGAGCTATCGCACCTATCATTGATCTGGGCCCTACGATCCAGCCATGGCTGGCTCAGACGCTTCGGAGCGTTGAGAAACAAATGGAACCACTCGAAAGCGTCCTCCATCACCAAACATGTATGATCAAAACGCTCTCGACTCCTAAAAGCATTTGGTATCTTGCATGCATCATGGTGCCCAATCCTTCAGAGTCGGAGCTACGCCAAAACTCCATTCAAGATGTCGAGCGATTGTCCGACTTCCGACTTATCCACATCGAGGCATACATCATTCACGTCGACATGAGGGATCGGGACGAGGTGGCCTTCAAGCTGACCACCGAGTCGATCAACTCCCTTGTAGAGTACTACGAAAGATACCACCGCGTTGGTCTCGTGGCGAAGATGCATGAGAGGTCTGGGAATGATCGAGTGCGGAAAAAGATGTCCGAGGAGTTTACACGAGCCATCAACGAGTTCGTGTACCGTACACATGTCTCCGCTTTGGGAGGTCTCGAAGAGGACGGAACCGGCGAGTTCCTTGTCAATGATAGTGAAAGGGTGAAGGACATCATTCTGGGCATGATTGAATCACCTGATGGGACCTCTATTATCTCTCGATTATCTTGAGAAGAATGCTGTCAAGCCGTTTGTTTCTCTATCAATCTTATTGCACCGGCCAGCTTGATAGGCACCCTTCCAACAAGTTACATAGCTAAACTTCCATAGAATTACGTAGAAAACTGGCGTTTCCCGAGGTCTCGCTCTATTGACTGTTTCTCACACTAATTCGTTCTTTTGAACCGTCCGGCTGCGCACGTACACTGATCACGGCGACACTTTAACGAGTCGAACCCGCAGTATCCACACGTGATATCGTTCGCCGGCTACCCGTAAACTTGAAGATGTCTTCCTGTTCAGCATGGTAAGAAGTCCGTCCCAGAAGATTTGTAGATTCCCTTAATGTAGTAATGTAGAGCTGTGATTTCTATGCGTCAGCTACTTGGAGTCAAAAGCAAACTTCTCAACAGTATATGCGCTCAGCCCTAGCCCTCCAGCAGAAGACTCTGTTCAGGTCTGTATTTCCAAGGATACGTATGTATCTTTACACTTGAGGACGAACGCAGCCGATTCATCTCCAACGTTTGGCAGGGAGGAAGGAGTGACCTACTTTGCCTTTAGGAGTAGGGTTTACCACAGCCCAAGGGAAGGGGAAAACGCACAGCACCATGGCAGATGCGTCTCCAAATCGATCCACGCAGGCTCGTACTTGGAACTCCCAAGAGGCCATGCTGCATCCCACATCATGGAATAGGAAGCCTGGATGGTGGCTGTGGAACCCCATTTCTGGAAGTCAGGGATGTGCTCGGCCAACAGTTGATTCTGTAACGAGTAGGATGAGACGCCATCTGAAGATTGGGGGTCGATACGGCTTGCGGGACGTCTAAGGTTCTTGCTCCGGGCCTTGCGAATCCTCGAGACCAGAGGTTTAGGGACCACCATTCTGTTTTTCTTGGTCGATATGACGGGGTTTTTCCTCATTCGGGAGTTTCGGTAGTTATGCGTTGGACGAATGCCCTCTACGAAACAAGCTGCGAGACTCCAGCGAGACGTTTTGCCTGCAAGTCGTTGGAATGCCTAACCGAACAACGTTAACCAATTTCGCTTCTATGGACGTACGCAGGCGCCGTCACTTTTCGTTTCTGTCTTCTTTCTAGTTTCTGAAAAACGGAAAAGCAGAAAAACAGAGAAAGATTCTGGAGGCAATCCGAGCAGGCTGCAAACATAAGAACTAACCTGGTTCAGACTAAGGTTGGAGCGGACACTATTCTTCCAGCCTCGTTGCCGTTCCTTTGGCTTCTCGGTGTTATCTATGAACCACTGATAGAGGTCCTTTAACGTCATTTGATGTGCGTCTTGGCTGATGAGCGCCTTGTATATCAGATCCGCATACGTTTCTTTCTTCTGTTTCCTGCCGGTCTCGGCTTGAGCTGAAGCAGGTGACGCGCTGGACCTCATGCCTATGTCGTCGAACACCGTGCTCGAGGCAAGTTGCAAAGGGAAGATATCTGGCACACAGCAGGATTCCAAGGAAAGGCTACCATCCCAGTCGAAGGAGTCGTTGCCGAAGTCATGGCTAGCGTCGAAGGTGGCTTGGAATGGGAGAAGCTCTTCCCCATCGCTGATAGATGTTGACTCCCGAGGATATGAGGCAGCATCCCGTAGTTCCATTGTTAGCGGCACTGCCTGGGAAGCGCAAGATAGACTGGGTGACGTGGAGTGAAGACGCGGCCGATGGACAGTGAATGAAGTCGTAGAGACGTCGGAGGCGCACTGTGACCGCCGAGAACATTGCCCCTTATCAACGCTGCTGCCGCGCCACGGTAGAGCAGCAAGGAGACGCTACTACCGAGGCTCTTTCTGCGACTTAGGGTAACAGAAAGGAAAATTTGACGTCTCGGACGTGCCAACATCCATTTTGGTCAACATAGATTCTTTTGGCGCAACCTACTTTCGGATTCGTCGCCGAAAGACGCCGCGGAGTGGGTCCAAGGCTGGAAAGAAGACCGTGCTGCGCCCGACTTGGAGAAAGAACATAATTTTACTGTCTATATACCTCACCTATGGCGATCAATGAGGAAATTCACAGTCAGGAGTCTTCTCGCACACGTAAGCGGAAGCGTCGAGGGTCCCAGCAACGCCCTGTATAGAACCATCACCTTCCTGGCACCGACATCTCCAATTCAACTGTCCAACAACTTGCGAGATGTTGTCAACACCTTTCGACGGCCGGTGCGATTTGTGGAATGCAGCAAGGGAACCCAGGCATGAAGTCACTAAGGATGCCATCCAGGTTCACTATGGGCGAGCGAGAGACCTCTGTCGGAGAAGTGGTAAGCACACAGAGGGAATGATTCGAACCGACGTCGTCTAATCGGCCATAGGCTTGACGGTCTACGACATCCTCCACCTCTCGCCCAACTTCTGGCGATTTCACTTCGATAGTACGTCACCCTCGATCGCAAGGGAGTGTCTGATGCTAAGCCACTTTAGTGATCGCCGCTCGAGATATGACTGCATTCGTGATCGCGACGATTCACTTGAACCTCTGTATCGGAACAATCGGCCGTTTCGCAGTTGAGCGACCGGACTTAGCACCCCTCCTCGAAGATTTGCGACAGTTCAAAGTTTGCGGCGAATTCATGTTGACGGAAATCGATCACGGCCTTGATGCGAAAAACCTCGACACGACGGCGACGATGCTCGACGATGGGTCTTTCGTGCTGCACACGCCAGCTTTCGGCGCCGCCAAAGCGATGCCACCAACCACCCCTCTGGCCGGGATCCCTCGTATAGCAGTGGTTTTTGCGCGCCTTCTGGTCGAGGGTGAGAGCCGGGGCGTCAAGCCCTTCATCGTTCCTATCAACGACTCGACCCGAATGCGCCCCGGGATCGTGTCGCGGGCCCTGCCGGTCCGGCCCGGCACGAAACCGTTGGACCATTCCATCACGACATTCAACAACGTCGAGCTTCCTGCCGAAGCGCTGCTTGGTTCGTCCGCGAAAGCCGAAGACGAGCGGGCAGAGTTCCTGGACCAGATCTGGCGTGTTTCCGTGGGGACGTTGTCATTGTCCATTATGGGCGTGTCCGCCTTGAAGGTCGACGGGTGCATCGCGGCCATGTACAGCCAGCGTCGGCAGGTCGGGGTCGGGAATCACGGGCAAGTGGTGTCTATCATGAGCTTCAGCACGCAACAGCGCCCCATACTCAAGGCGCTGGCCTTCGGGGAGGTTCTGCATGCTTATGGCGAATGGACCGTCCAGCAATTCATGAACCCCGACGCCGCCGCCGACGTCCGCAGAGGTCTTGCGACCGCATTCAAAGCACTGGTTGTGCGTTCATCTCGATTGCTCGTCGAGCTTGCCGAACGATGCGGGTGGCAGGGGTTATATGCCCACAACCAGATCAGCGAGCTGGCGTCTACGTTCCAGGGGAATTCAGTCGCAGAGGGTGACACGCTGGTCATCAGCATCCGTATGTGTTTCATGCATGACTTGAGATCCACCGACTAACTCATGGGACAGGCCTGGCGTCGGAGCTTCTAGCACAGAAATACTGCCTGCCTCAGCCGGGCGATCGAAGAAGCCCTCTAGCCATGTACGAGAGGGGAGTATTCGACGAGATGGCGGCGAGAATGGCCGCACTACCCAGCGATCACCGCAGCAGCGAGTTCAATGCGGCGGTCCTTCCTTGCTGCCGAGCTATGGTGGAGGCTATCGGACAACGCATGGCCTACGAGGCAGCACTGCATTCTGGTAATGTGATTCCGGAAGTGCTCGATCTCTTCGAGAAATGTTGTATCCGAGAAGACGCTAGTTGGCACATCGAGCATGGCAATTACAGTCGGACACGGATCTGGACGGCAGAGGAGAGGGCGTTTACTAATTTGATGCCTCTGTTGCCGGACCTGGTAAAAAGGACCAATGCGCAAGACTACATCACAGCTCCCATCGTCAATGGCGAGGCCTTGGAGAATTTTCTTACGCGGTTGCCTATCTATGGCAATGAGTGGGAGGACACAGGAAAGCCGCCTCGGAAGGCGAAGCTTTAGACGTCGGTGGATGAGAAGGTTAGAGCTACGATCAAGGTGTATGTAGACGGCGCCAGCTGATCAATTGCCGATGAACATCTTGTCGTGACCTATATTTGAGGCGATAGAAGGACAACCAAAGATGTACTTTTGCAGGTGTGGTTTATCAAGATTCAGTGAACGTCCGTAATGCCCAGATGCCGATTCAGAAGCAGACTCAATAGTTAACAAACAGATTCAGGCAACAACTCAGGCAACGTGTGCCCGAGGAACCGGTATCGTATCCATGATTTCGCGATGTAGAAAAGTGCGCTGCCTTGCCTGAGGCTTACTTATGATAAAACAGTGGTAAAGACCAACACATTCAAGATATCAAATAGTTCCGTCTATATGACATTCTGACTCAGCGGATGGCTGATGCGAGGTAGACGATACATCTTTTTGGTCACTCTGGGCACAAGCATGATAACAAGGCACTCAAGAGTAAATCTTTCAACTTGGGAAACTGGTCATTTTTGACACGGTTGTTAGAATCTAGCCGACCGACCAGCACACCGCGATATCACTATGCATCTTTATCGCTACCTTCCTGACCGGGTAAGGAAAAGCCTCGCTCGCCCCTAGCCTTCCGCCTGTCGGACATATGGAGTACCGCAAGATGAGCCAATGTCATAGCTGGGCCGAGAGTGACCCCGGCTCCCAGCGACGTAGCACCCATGACCGACGCCGATGAATTGCCGGCCGCGTATAGGCCGCCAATGACGTTGCCACGTGTATCTACCACGCGCCCATGTCCGTCCGTCAGCAGGCCGCCTTTGGTGCCCGCGTCTCCCGGAGTCACCTTCACGGCATAATATGGGGGTTCATCAAGGTTTCCCATGTTTGGTCGCTTTGCGTTTCTGTCCCCAACGAAGAGGTGTTTCTTGCTGCGGCCTTTGCCGAATAGCCCATCGACTCCGTCGTTGCACGCCTGGTTCCACGTCTCAACCGTCCGTAACAGACCGTTGGCTTCGACGCCGATTTGAGCTGCGAGACTGGCCAAGTCGTCTGCCCGGAAGATGTGTCCACGAGCTAGGGCGTCAACCGGCTCGACCCTAGGGCCAAGCGACCCTAGAGTGTACCGACTCCGGTAGCTCCAATCAAGTATCAGCCAGGCAGTGGTGTCATCGTGTCGAGACCGATGATAGAGCGCACGACCCACGTCGCCGTACGGGTCGGCCTCGGAGAAGAGTCTTGACCCTTGCCGGTCGACAACAATGCAGTGGGGCTTGCACAGCTCAAATAAGGCGGTCGTGAGCCTCCCGCTTCCAGGATCGATGATTGTAGGAATCCACCACGCTTCGCCCATGAGCGACGTGGCCGCGCCGACCTTGCACGCTGCTTCCAGAGCATCTCCCGTGTCGCCTTCAGGTTGCGTCAACGTCCAC